AAAAAAATATTAATTATTTAATTATAATAAATTAATTAAAAATTTTTTTTAAAATAAATAATGGCGTTCGTTGAATATTTAATAATTTTTCCTCTTTTTTTTTCTTATAATAATAATAATAATAAAAACAATAACAAAAGGCAAGTGCAACAAAAAAGGAGCAACGTTGTAGATAAAACGCGGCGTAAATTTTTTTTTTCCCGTTTTCTTATTCACTTTATTTTTATTGATTCATTCGAATAAAAACGTTATTCATTTAAGTAATTTTATATTTATTCGGCACAAAAAAAAAAAAAAAAAAAAAAAATGGACGTAAAATGAAAAAAGCCAATGAAAACTCCTATAAAAGAAACAAACAAAAAAAAAAAGTAAAAGTAAAAGGAAAGTAAAAGGAAAATTTTAGTTTTAGAAAAGAAAAAAGAAAAAAAAAATAAAATAAAAAGGAAAAGAAAAATAAATAAAAATAAAAGTTGAGTGACTCTACGTCAATGTCATGTTATTACGGAGACACTAAAGTCAAAAACAAAAACAAAACAAAAATAAAAATAAATTTTCATTTTTATTTAAATTTATCATTATTATTATTAATATTATCACGACGCATAGTATTATTATTATTATTGAAAAATCAAAACGTTAATAAATTAATAATTATGCGTCCTCTCTATGTTTTTTGTTTACATTTTTTTTTTACGCCACAATTCAAACGAAATCGATAAATCGATCGATCGATTAATATCGATTATTAAAAATACGATCACATTTTTATTTTTTATTTCTAGTTGATAACAGTCACGTGATAATGATAACATTCGAAAAAAAAAAGGTTTCCTACATTAAAAAAGAATTAAATAAGATTAAAATGAAAATCTAATAATAAAGGTATGGATAGATAGATTAAAAGTGTGGAAATTCTTTAAAAACACAAAATAATAATAATAATAATAATTGGTTATTAATGTGTAACGGAAGTAAAAAATTAAACGGAAGAGAATTTAATAATGTAATAAAAACGCAATCCGTGTCCGCCATTTTCAATTTTTTTTCACGCCTAAAAAAAAAAAAAAAAAGTAACCAACGTGACGCGAAGAGATATGTAAATGAAAATGGTTTTTTTTTTTTTTTTAAATTCAGGGA